TCCTGTTTCCGTATTGTAAATTCCAGAAATATATTGTTCTGGCGCTAAGGTAACGGAAGAGGCTCGTACTTTCGCGCTGAATTGTCGAACTATACGTTTCTTCATACTGCCTGTTTTCCCTGATATTACATTTACGGTCCAGAATGACAGTTGTTTTACGTTTAGCATTTTAACACGTGAGATAACGCTGTCAATCAAAAGAAGAGACGATTAAATAACAGTTTCCGACTTAGGAACCGTTAACAACTAGGTACACCCCATACCGCAGGCGTTGACGTATCCTTGGAGCTCCAAGTCCCGACGGATCGGCTCAACTCACCGTTTTTGTTCAGTTTTCAAGCGCTCTCTGGACGGTTGATCGGAAGTTCTGCAGATACATGACCGAGCCACTAAACTTGCGAAAAAGAACGAAGGCCGATTATTTGATGCATTGGCGTAAACTGCGCAGTAAGGCCTAGGATTCATGAATCAACTCAGCAGTAAAACAGGGTTCGCAGGTGCAAATGGTTTATGACCTTCTTTGAAAATTAATCTCGATATACGGTTGTAGACTTTATGACCTAAATTCAGCTCCGGTACTCGGAAAAGTCTTTAAATACTAATATTATGGGTAAGACAAGCAGGGGTAATTTCGCCAGGTACCCAGCCGACGCCGTAATTCGTGTAGCCGGATGGTCCTTCGTAGAGCCCTATTGGCAAAGCAGACATTCAGATGTACAAAAACCAATCAGTCCTGGATACAGCCTAATATTAATATGTCATTGTCTTTTTCTTGGGGTTATATCTTATCTCTTCATTCTGATATTCGGAAACGCCCAAATCCCAACTTAGTTGGATGGCCGATAATCCCGCAAAACAGTTGTGCGCATTCGTGCTCATTTGCCGGTGCAGGGTTTTTTTTACACACAAAGTGAAACGTAAGATTTACGAGCGTGAATCTTACGCGGTTGCCCGTGGACACGAGCTCCTGAAAACATGTTTATTCTAGTCTCGTTGCCCCCGCAACCAAGGGCTGCAATCTGAGTGGGATACGATTTTCAGTCCCGGGGTTGTCTCCATGCCAGTGCTGATTGGCCGAACCAGTGCCCTTGACTCTCACACCAATCAATCACGCGGGCGGGGCGTGACAGGGCCAGTCACAAGCAGCGCGCCTGATCAAGTGACTGACGCAACAAACAAACCGTTCAGAACTTCCCAAAAAATTACCACACCGAGTATGTCTTCTAAACTTGTGGTTTACCCCCACGTGACTGTTTGTCATCGTTCTCGCTCGTACTGTTCATTCTGGCAATAATCAACTCATATGGCTGCATGAAAGTCGAGACCCCGGTTGGCCAGTTCTGACTGAAAAACTTAATTCACAGGATTTTATGGCGAAATTATAAAAAGCAATTTAGTCATGATATTGCGACAGAAGTCCGGAGTCCACTCGTAGATGCAGTCTTTGGAGATATTTTCCACGACTTCTCGGTTACCGAAGCTATCCTATTTGCGGCTGCCCTCAGGTTACGAAAACCGACCCTATGCGCCCAGAACCTCGTTCAGGCTCCGCGCTTACCATGTTCAAAGGTTGACTAACCGAATACAAATTTCTGCGCTCCTCCGCCCTTGCCTAGCTTGTATTTTAAAAACTGACTTTTATCGATTTTTTTTTCACTCACTGTACCCCGTCCCATATAACTGTACTGGCCTGACGAAAAGTTATCAAAAGCAACGTTCGCTCGCCACCTTTTCTTCCGAATGAGATATGTTAAGGCTTGCCACCAGTTTCGACACGACGGCCTCAATGCGCCTATAATGGCATTGTGCAGTCAGTCACAATGCCGGGGGGTGCGGCAACGGTATGGTTTACGGCCGAGGTTACTTACCCCGGGGAGCAAATGCGCTGGAAGAAAATAACTGACGACATTTGCCTATACGTGCCAGATGAAATAAAAGGACCTCGCAGTGTCTGTTGCGGGGGGGGCGGTGGTCAGAATGCTTTAAAGTGGACTTCGGAGTAAAAATACATGGAGATAACTTTTTGACAATGCTCGCAAAGAAGCATTAAATTCACTTACTATTACCATTAAAGAGTGGAAATAAGGATCCATTTTAATTGACAATCTGGAGGATTAGAATTTGTGATATCACGAAGTTGCTAGATGGTTAGCTATTTTGCTCAACGCAAATGCTTCCCGGATAACGTAACCCCGGCCACAAACCATACCCTTGCCCTAGGGGCTTTAGTTTCAATGGGTGCGACGGACGCATGTAGGTTGCAGAATGAACTCGCTTTGCGTTGGAGCTCCAGTTTATAGACCCTGCTCAGCCTTGCCACCAGAATGCACTGGTAAGCGCCACTCCCGTGCGACCTCAATAGCAAGTCCTATTTACTGGGTGAAATGAGCTCCCTTATTGCATAAACTTCTTTACACTGGTAGTTGGCAACCAAATTCCTTTCGCCGTCACGTTGTTTGCAACGTCTGAGACGAGCTTAAGTGTGCATTTTCCTGCATCAGCTGTCCAGCCTCGGCTTATTGGCTGGCCAGCTGGCCTGAATTTTTCAGCTGCGCCATCGTGCGCCGATGTGGCGGAACGCCGTCAGTTGATGGGTTAAGCCTCTCCCCGAATCACCCAGCCCCCACCGCGCGCAGAGCAAAAGGGGTTTGAGGGGGGGGGGGGGGGGTGAAGGGACTCGCAAATTACCGTATATTTACACATTTTACTGAAATTAAAAGGTGAGGTAAGCACGCGTCGTCCAGCAGACGGAGTGAAGGAAGGCGAGGAGGAGGAGTAAGAAGAGGGAGAAGGCGGGATGCTTGCGTGCGCGGGCAAGCTCGGCTGCAAAAAACCTCCTCCACGAATTAATATTACTGATACTATCACCATAGTTGCCATTCTAGGCGCGCTAACAGAGAGCTGGCACAGCCGGGAGAAGGGCAATAAAGTGGCCACCGTCATGCCAGCAATGGTCGCAGCAGACGAGGCAGCAGAAACCACCAAGTTGGAAAGCCGTAGATGAGCAGCCACAGATGTGTGAGGCGGCGGCGGCATAAGCGAGGAGCTAAAGTCACG